TTATATAAACTTTTGCTTCTCGTATACCATCGATACGAGTGCACCAAAAGACACGACCCGAGACTGAGAGACTGCTCAGTGTTTCACTAATTCAGTTGCGACTAAAATATCTGAACCAACACTTCAGTGCTTCACTCCCAACTCCATTCATATATAGATTTTTAAACACAACTATAGATTCAAGTATTCTTGTGTTGGCATTCATTTCATTCGTGAATATATTTCCAGTGTTTGTTTCAACGCAAGATCTGTATATTCTTTAAGTATTTGTTTACTTAGTTTTTGTTCACACATTCGCGTTAATAAATTATTCATAATTACATCCAATAAGCCATACATATATCGATACGCGACGCCAATAACCAAGTGTTTGCCAGTGATTGAAATTCTGTGCGAAATTTATGTGAATTTCAGTGATTTTGAAGCCATAAGAATCGGAAGATTTGTTCAAAATGCTTGTGCCTCCAGATTCACAGATTGGGGCCACAAAACTGCTCTTTCATATCAATAAATACTGTAACGAAAGAGTTGTCTACCGGTGAGAGAGACGACACTTATTATAATTAATGCCAACAATTGTATTCTCATTATAAACATAAATTCATTGCAATTGTCAATTCAAATGATTGCCATTTTATTCGTAATCTTTTTGTTATACTTTCGTTTGTAATCCCAATTTGAATGAACGAAATCTCAAATTTCATGAATAGTTTTTAGGAAATCCATAAAAGCTTAAGGATTCTGTACTAACGATGAGTTTAGTGTTAAACATATTTATTATACAATTGCAAAGTCTGTGACCTTCGCCTATCTATTCATTCAATTTTATGTCTTTATTTCGGTTTTGCATCGATTTTATAGTTTTTCTCATGAAAACCGATTCATTAGTCGAGAATTTTATTTTACTTCCTTTACGATAGCATTGCGAAAAATTCTGTCAAATGTTTTTTCATGTCTTTTACATATAAAACTGTTAACCTATTAAATGAGACCCGAGTTTAAACCAAATGTTCATATGATGTACAGAAGGGGACAAATCGCCAAAACAATCCGCGAAATCACGAAAATAGTTCAGGATGTGCTCAAAGAAGTCGAGGTCCAGGAGCCCAGATTCATATCCAGCCTCACTGAATGCAACGGACATTATGAAGGTTTGTCACTATTTTCGTAATTATAGTTCAATAATATTCACTTTTCTAATGAATATTAAACACTGCATTAATTTAATTAATATTTAATTATAACAATCATTCATGTAATTTTTTACTGTTTATTTATGGATTGTTTGCATTGAATTTAAAATCATTCAAATCTATTCAAATAAAGCAATACTTAACTCATAAATAATCCCATTTATGCTCAGAAGGAGTTGTTTTGCGTTTATTTTAATTGATAGCTCTCTCTATACATCTTCTTATTTAGTTTCTCATATTTTTTAAGTAAAACAATTACAAAACTAAACAATAATTATAATCATAATTCAAATAATGTTAACTAAGAGAGTATTGGGAGTGAAAATCTATGAAATATCGTTTAAAGGCTTGCATTGGATTGTAAGCCAACAAAACGTGAGAAACGTTTTCAATCAATCTTTGTATGCCTTCACAAGACTTCAAACTGTGTTCTCAAATGTTTGCCAATAATTTACTCTTCATTAAAGAGTAAAAATCATAGATTATATTGTGTACACAAACAGATCCACTAAAATCTGAAAATATATAAATTTATTTAGCGTTTGTATTGCATAGAAAACATATACTGAATGAATATCCGCTAAATTCTTGCCTTATTTATAGTATATTTTAAATATTATTCGCATTTTTTACTCAAAAACGGATACATTTCATCGAAACTATTAATTTTTAATAAAAAATGTGATAAAAGCCTTAATGGCAATGACTGACATTTTTCTCATTAAGAGTTCTTCCAAATAACGAGATCTCAAATCAAAAGATAATTAATTTGAATTTTAATTAGTTTTTTATTTAATTTTTTCTTCGCTTAGATAACAATTAGATTATAAATCATTTACCAGATTATAGCCTACTATTAAAAAAATATGAGAGTATAATAAATAAATAAATGGAAATTATATTTTGAGCACTAAAAATATCGAATAACATTTCTATCACATCTATACAAATGTGTTGAATACTAGACTATTATATAATATAAATGTCAATAATATAAATGTATGTATCATATGATTAGGTCTGGAAGTGATATCGCCCACAGAATTCGAAGTAGTCTTATATCTGAACCAAATGGGAGTTTTCAACTTTGTTGACGACGGCTCACTGCCGGGATGTGCTGTCTTGAAGGTATGCCATAATGAATGGTCCATATATTTACAACTTCTTGTCGACGACTCGACTCCACTATAATAATGGCAATGAAATGAATGGCTCTTTGTTTTTGTCTCCAATAGCTATCGGACGGCCGAAAGCGGTCGATGTCTCTATGGGTTGAGTTCATAACAGCGAGCGGTTACTTAAGTGCACGTAAAATACGGTCTCGATTTCAGACACTAGTGAGTGAATTGTGAATTGAATTTCATATTCTAGTCATTAATTTTAAGTTATATATTTTTTGCACAATACTTAAATATAGTGTATGTTTAATCGTTAAATCATTTTCACGCCCAACCATTTGTGTTGAAAATTCATAAACACATAAACTATGCCCTGAAGGCTAATATCGTAACGAATATTGTTTTCTAAATAATCAGTTTTATATAGCGCTATACCTCTAACCAGTATTTAATAATACTTCTATACAACATATATTTAATGTTGCTTTCGGACTGTCTTTGCCGTACAGGTGGCCCAGGCCTGCGATAAAAGTAGTTATCGGGATTTGGTTAAAATGATTGCCGACACCAGTGAAGTGAAGCTCAGGATCAGAGAGCGATATATCGTTCAGATCACACCTGGTATTCATAACTCAATTTTATACCAATTATTTGGAAAGCCTGTGATAGAGACCAATCGTGTATTAAAATCTCCTATCGGTCTGACAGCGTTCCGATGCAGTGGCCTCTGGCCTCGTTCGGCGGCGCACTGGCCAATGCCGACCTGTCCCTGGCCACCCCCTAACATTGTCGCCGAAGTTAAAGCCGAGGGCTTCGACCTCCTCAGCAAAGAGTGTGTCTCACTTCAGGTCTGTTCACAACACTATTCTCTGTAGACATCGATTCCACTGTAATTCATGTATAAAATGGATGAAAACAGGGAAAGCAGAGCTCTATGGAAGGCGACGCTTGGGTTCTCAGCTTTCTTGAGGCAGAGAATCGATTGCTTCAGGTTTTTGTTGCTTTTGTTAATACTTTTATAATTAAATAGCAAATGATAAATATTAATTATTTGATTATATTTTAATTAAATACATATTTTCTAATGCTTATCAACATATTATGTGCGAACAATAGGGCGGATGTCGTAAAAAATGTCTTTCAATCCTGAAGACCCTACGCGACCGTCATTTAGATCTGCCGGGACTGCCTATAAATGCCTATCATTTGAAAACCTTATTATTATATGAGTGTGAGAAACACCCGCGAGAGTGTGAATGGGATGAAGTGTGTTTGGGTGACCGCATCAACGGAATACTTCTGCAACTCATATCATGCCTACAGTGTCGTCGGTGTCCCCACTATTTTCTGCCTAATTTGGACTTATTTCGGGGCAAATCACACAGGTTTGCCACTCATCTGTTTTATTACAATACCATATACAACTCATTTATTTTATCAATGCATTGCCTAAACATTCATTCTATGAATATGTTTAATAAAAGGTGATTCGCGTAAATAGTATTTAGTATAACACCTGCCTTTAGGCCCATTTTATCCCACATCCCATCCAATCTTTACACAACATTATCGCGGATTTTATTTCTATGAAAATTTAGTGAAACATAGTTTTATTTTTCATTTTCGTATACAAACTAGTAATACTGTACATTAATATATTAAATGTGAGAATTTATTTTTGCACTTAAAATCCCATTTTGAATACACGCAGAGAAATGCGATTTTAATATGTTTTCATCATTTCATTCATAAGTTGTATGTTTAGTCGATCGCTACATAAACTAAACTATATTTTATGCTAAACCAAAAAATATTGTATATCTTTTGAGTACAATTTTGTTATTTTAAAACTTAAATACAAGACACGACTTAATGAATACATAACTTATATATAAATTACAATACAATTATAGTTCACTCGAAAACGCAGCGAAGATGACATGGAGACTGTGCCGAGAATTGCTAACAAATTCAAAATCATTTGATAAACTATAGGATCCGAGCGTCCATTGCGAGGACCATTGAGTTCAAAGACGATTTTCAAAAGAATTTAATTTAGATCTCGTTATTTGAAATTTATATAATGTATTAATACGTGTGATTGTATTTGTATTTGTATTTCTTTTTTATATAATTCTGTTGAAACAAATCAACATAAAACCTGAACCCATGCTCATTGGGAATCAGTATAATATCGATAAAAAATAATATAAAATATACGGATCTTAGATACTGTTGCTCACGATTTTAAGCTGAAAAAATGTATGGGAAAGGAGGGACGGAACAGATTTCAATATGAATTGGTCCTAAAGATGTTTAAATGATTTTCATAGCTGTCAGCCATATATCTGATAGTTTGCTAAAAGAGTGAACAAATAATTTATTCTAAAATTACTTCATCAGAGTCTGTGTGTATTAGTGACGACCAAAAACTTGTGTAAAACTTAATGTGAGAAGCAGTCAGTAGTCAATCGGAGAAAGTAGTCTTTATCTCTCTTTTAGCCTCTAATCTAAAACAATTACTTCACTATTACTATACGATTTGGCCCGAAGGCCAGTCTTTTTCAATTTGTTATGAAAAACAACATTTCTTTTGCATAATATTTATATATATTTCTGTATATTTGACAAACAAATTGTATAACATTTTTCAGAGGTTAACAATATTTTGCAATTTATTAATTTTAATCTAATGGTTATGTAATGTTTTTAAGTTTACGTTTACTTACTATACTTATTTATTATTGTAGTATTTATTATAATTAGCAAAACAAACTCATCGATTCATTGATTTGAAAAACATGAATAAAACAAAAAATGAGCTAAATTTGTGTTTTATTATATAACTTATACTCAATACTATTATATATACTAATATTATTGACTTTTAAAAACGTCTCAAACACTAAACGATTAGAATTTGAATGTTTTAGCAAAGCTTGAGAGGGGTCTCGACGTTGAGATGAATTATGAGTATAGCAGACAAAAAAATGCTATTAGTCTTGTGTTTTATTGCCTAAAATAATCGAAACGGGCACTAGAAATAGGTAGGCCTGACCAACAGATTCATAGCCTAGAGATAGGGAACCATTGCTGAGACTTTGGAGAGAATGCAAACGCCTATTAATAGTAAGAAACTAAAAAAATTCTGCGAAATGTTAAGCATTTGGATCTTTGGTGCTCTCCAACCATCAGTTTATTTATGAAAGTGGGGTTCGCTTTGCGATCGAAATATTTTTTGTATATTAAGTACATTAGGCTATGATTTGGATGCACATCCACTCCACTCTCTCCTCCCTTATTAATATGCAAATACATGGCTCTCTGATCGACACTTATTACATAATAAAACGTTTCGTCTCTAAAAAATAGTCACTTCATTGACTACACATTTTTGTGTTTAGTGTTTATTTATAATCGGCTTTTTGTCATCTCTTCTCCATTCTGTCATTTGTCGGCATTTTCTATGTTTTCGATCTCTAAACCGGGAATTTTGCCAATACTTACGATACGTTATATTTCAATCGGCTTTTGAGAATTTTGCTTTAATACGAAATTCACGGCTAAATTCAATAAACACTGTTTTGCAAACATATAAATCCGTTATCTACTGCAACAATGCAATTCTCAATTCTGTTGCTTAAATAAATTCTAATTATTTTTATTTTCTTATTTTCTTAGACCGACTGTTTTTATTCTGATAAGTGGGAGAGAGAGAGAGAGAGAGAGCTAACAGATATTAAAAGGAATTGGTGTTTCCAATACTAACTGTGCTTTTGAAGGGGTCTAATATTTGCTGTTAAGCTCATTGTTAGGCTATAAATATGTTTACTCTAATCATTGATTAGCTTTCCATTAGTAAGCGCTGAGCACTAGGACTACACGACTATTATATAAGTTATGACAAGAGAACACATCAGAGAAAGCAATGAATTATGGGATTGAGAAGTGTGTGAATATATAAACGTTTGTCTATTTGTGTTCAGAGCGACAATAAGGGGCCAAAGCATAGGTTAAACGCTTATAGCGTTGTGCACGCAATGGTCGAGTCGGGTGTGGCTGTTGTCTAACAGTGGCAGCGGTAGGAAAAGAGTCATAACTTACTCTATATATACCGATCAATACTAGTATTGATTGCTCTCTAGGCTTACACTCTATTCAGACAAATATATTTCACCGCTCGATGTGTACTACAAGGCCTGCGTTTCCCTCATCGCTATTAGCGTGTATGGTATGGCCTGACTGTGCTCTTTGCCATTGTATGCCGTAGTACTCCATGTACTCCATGTATGGCATCGTATGGCAGGTGGCCTTAACATCAAGTGTAGTGCCATTGTATCCAACATTACGGATACGTGCACTTCATTACCAAATGGATTACCATTTTATTCAGATTAATGCCTCACAAACTTCATTGCATTACTATTTTCCCCACATTTGACATAACATTGGGTTAATTCACAAAAACTCTAATATTACTCAAATCAGCACAATATCTCTTCAATTATATTATGTCTTGTTTTTCTTGATTTGTTTGTTTCACTTACCCTTTGATTCACAATCCCTTTGAATTCTTCGCAACAAATTCTTAATTCAATATACTTTGCATAATAGATACAGAATGTGTAATTATACAGAATACCCAGTACCCACAAGAATCTTGGTCAAAATGTGTCAAAATGGTTTTTATACGAGGTTATTTTTTATACATATTTGTATTGAATGTAATGATTGTAATTCAATGCAAAGATTATAAGCTAATAGTGTTTGTATTCGTTTGAATGCATTCTATGATTACATAAGTGTTTGCTTTATTCGTCTGATTCATCACAATCCGCAGCAAATGTAATCATAGAGTAGTATATTCTGTGATAGTGTGGCACAGAATCATAGTATAGGACAATAATGTTGTGTCTGGTGTTCATAGTTTGGTTGCTTTTCATGTTTGGTTCACATGAAACGTCATATATCTCTAGATTAGACAAGAGCTGCAACTTTATGGACCAGTGCTCACGTGCAGCACATTTGCGAAATGCATCTATGATTTGATGAGCTCTAGCGATGGTCCAAAACACACCACTCAATGATTCAGGTAGTCTTCTGGCAGCTACCAGTCCATAGGGAATATCATTCATTGTGAAGGCCTACTAAAACATTGGTAGTCAGTGGCGCTGATCCTAACGCCGGCATCAAAATGTGATCGAAAATTAAAGCTTAATATCGACGGAGAAAACAGTGAAATAGTGAGAGCACTGGTAGTCATTCTGGAGTAGTAATGCATAAATGAACCATAGGAGGACTGGTAGTCAATTACAAGAGTATTATAATATTTGATATAATATACGGTGTTTTGACATGAGTTGTGAATCGATTGGTTCATGTGATTCATTGGTCTCATTAAAAGTTTTATGAATTAAGACGATTGGGTCGGTTAGGGGTCAGACGTGAGAGACAGTATGGGTTGTAGTCTTGAGAATAAGAATCGTATAAATGATAAGTATGTGAACCGAAGTTTTGGTGAAGGGGTCAACGAGAGGTCAGTTATAGAAGTATATATCATGTCATAGAGTAAGACCTCCCGATGCGCTGGTTATACTGATATGGAAACCCGATCCACGGTTGGGACCACCTCTGAGTTTTGCACACAATGAATGCATATGAGTGCCACTCATCATAAGACATACTACTCATACCACTCATACTCCTTATACTCCTTATACTCCTATACCTCCTCATGCGCTGTTCCTTAATTGATATTCTCTTGGATGCAACCACACCTCAACACTTAATTATAGGTCTAACTCAGTCTCCCTCTCATTGATCCCCTATCGCTCTCTTATGTAAACATATAATTTAGTAAAACCAACACAACAACCAAACCTGTTATCAAACACTCGCAAACAGTTCCCAATACCAGTGCAACACTCACACCACGAGCACCAAAGCGGGTCAATAGACCCAAATACGAGCCATTCATTGCCAACGCAAATATCACTACAATATCTACAGATCTCTACCCTTATTACGAGTACCATTGATTGGAATGGAGGGTCAGCACAGATACCATTATCACAACCACAGCCACTGTTCACTAATTGTGATTCATAGCCACAGATTATACTCCCATCAGTCCATTGGCACTCATTTGTTAACGGCTTCTGCTTCTCACTTTCAATAACCACAAAAACCTATCGTTTATATCATTTTGTTGTCATTTATTCTTTAATTATAGACTCTTATAAAATTCAATTACAAAATACTTTTTACATATTATTTATTACATTTCATTTCGAAATTCTAGACTATAATCAAAATTAATTACGAATGGAAATTTTACAATAAATTAAACGTTAGATAAAATCTTTTTTAAATATATCTTTTATTACAGTATTGTGTTGTAATAATGGGTTACATTTTGTATGTAATTCTATTAATTAAATATTTTTATTAGAAATTCTTTATAAGCATAAATTTCAAACCTAATACATATTTAGCATTAAATTTTTCTTCAAATACTGTATACAAAAACTATTTTAATCCTTAAATAAGTACAGAATTACTGTTAGTAAAGAATATATTGATAATATTCATCGACTATTAGATTCGTTAACGTGAAATATAGGTAATTATAAATTAGTTAACTCATATTACAGATTTTTTGGTAATCATATTAATAATAATAATTAAGCGAATAATAAAACCCTTATAATAATTTATTAACTGTTTATAAATTGACTAATAATTCAAATAATGTAATGAAAAGCGCTTAATATATCGATACAAGTATAGCGAACAAACTTTTTTGTATTGAATTTCAATAAATGTGAACAAAAACAATATTAATAATAATTTTAAGGAATTAAAGACACGTCTAATGTTTCACTCATAAATCAATTCGTCTTTCACAACTAATTAATGACAACCTTATTATGAAATATTATAATCAGTTTCTCAGATCTCTTTCGTTGATTAATGTCTCAAAGAACTAGATATCAGAATAATAGCCATTCTATTGGTTAGCAAATACTTTTGCAAAACATATCATATTTTCTTATAAGTTATACAGAATTATGTATTATATATACAGTAAGTCTTATTCAAGTGGATATGTTTCAACATTTTTGGCATCAAATCTCACTTTCCAGTTGTCGTTCTTCTTGAGGAACCGATCCAACGCCACAATCGCATCCAATTGTCTCATCGGGTTTAACATCCATTTCATTTCTCTTCTCATTGAACCCATTGTTAGAAACTCTTCACTTTCGATCATCTCTTTGGCACACCTTTTGGCAAATTTGTGGACAAATACCACAATCCTTTTGCGTCGATAGAAGGATCCAAACTTATAGATATCGAAAAAGTTGTGGACAGACATGAGGCCCACTATCTTGAGCTCACAAGTGATACACAAGTGTCTGAGATGGTAGATATGTGCCAAACGAAACACTTCCATCACATCCGACAGTGGGCTGTCCTCCCAGTCATCGCTTTCCAATTCCTCGCAATACATATACTTGAGCATCAGCTTAAAGGCCCACAGAGTCTGGCCATTGATTGTCACCTCCGAGTCATTGGATTCC